TAAATACGCTGAAGTAGCTCTGTTACATGTTTGATATGGTCTTCCCACGTCTGACTGTAGACAATTATGTCATCAAAGTACGCAACAGTATTTTGAGTTCCATCTAAAATACAATCCATAAGTCTTATGAATGATGCTGGAGACGTCTTCATACCAAACGGCATCACTGTAAACTCGAAAAGGCCAAATGGGGTGATGAAGGCGGATTTCTCGCGCGTTTCCTTTGCCAGCGGAACTTGCCAGTAGCCTTTTGTTAGATCAAATCTACTCAAATTACTTGCACTTCCAATTTTCTCAAATACTTCACTCATGCGTGGAATGGGATAAGGATCCGTGAGAGTTATTTCATTCAGTTTCCTATAATCAACACAAATTCTAATTGTCCCATCAGGCTTGTTGACAAGGACAATTGGTGAGGCCCACGGACTTTTGGATGGTGTAATAAGTCCTTGTTCTAACATTTCAATCAAAGACTCCTTCACTTCCTGTTTCTTAGCTTCCGGTATCCTGTAAGGTCTCTGAGTAATTGGATTCTCAGACGTTGTTTTGATTGTATGTGAGATAACATCACACTTTCCCGGCTTTGATGTGAAAATTCTTGAAAATTTCTGACAAACATCCCTTAAACTCTGTCTCTGCACTTGAGTCAGCCCATGTCCAAAGACAAGATCTGAAATGGTTTCTGTGGTGTCGTTAGGAAATTGCTGTTCAATTCCAATTTCATTTTCTGTTCCTGCCACTAATGTAGCCCGGTTATAAGGACGAAGTAAATTGATATGGTAGGTAACAAGTCCACGTCGTCCTCCAACATTGATTTTATAGTTAACATCATTTACCTTGTTAACCACACGAAATGGTCCTTTCCACTGAGCGGACATCTTGCCAGGTTCGGTCGGGAGTAGAACGAGTACTTCATCACCAGGGTGCAAAGTCCTTTTGGATGCTGAGCGATCATACCAATCTTTGATCTTCGACTGCCTCATTTCCAAGTTGTTTTGCACGAGTTGTGTCACATCAGCCAGTTTGTTTCGGATGTTGACGACATGATCTATCTCTGATGTTTTTATTTCCTCCTCACCAGTCATGAAGCTCTTTAAAACACTAAGAGGACCACGTACTGGCCATCCGTACAACAGGTCAAATGGTGAAAAACCAGTCTCCTCATGCGGGACTTCTCTGTACGCGAAAAGTACATAGGGAAGTAGTACATCCCAATCTTCGCCATTCTCCATACACAACTTTTTCAACATTGATTTTAACGTTCCATTAAATCTTTCAACTTTGCCATTTGCCTGTGGGTGATAAGGCGTTGTAGTTATTCCCTTGATTTTGATTTTCTCATATAAATCTTTCAGGAGCGCACTCGTGAAATTTGATCCTTGGTCAGTGAGAATAGTTTTAGGAATTCCAACTCGACTAAATAATGTAATGAGAGTGTCGGCAATTCGTTCAGCTTCACAACTTGGTAAAGCAAAAGCTTCTGGGTTTCTCGTAGCTTCATCAATGACAGTGAGAATGTATTTGTTACCTTGAGTTGTCCTATTGAGTGGGCCAACGATGTCCATTGCGATCTTTGAAAACGGATCAGTTATGATAGGTGTGTTGACCATAGGAGCTCTTTCCGCACTTCTTTTTGCCACTTTTTGACAAGTGTCACATTCTGCGCAGTAGTCCGACACATCTTGGAACAATCCAGGCCAATAAAATGACGCAAGAATACGTTGTTTGGTCTTCTCAGTTCCTAAATGTCCAGCTATTGGTTGATCATGTGCCAGCTTCATCACTGCTTTTCTTAGCGATGCTGGAAGTACCACTTGTGTTCCCGACAGATTCTTTTTCTTGGAAGTCCATTTTCGTTTCAATATGTCATTCTCCCAGTAAAACGCTTTATGTTCTGTCTCAGTTTGTGATACATTTTTGAATGCTTTATCCCTACAATTTTTGAGTGTTGGGTCTTGTTTCTGAAGATTCGATAGTTTATTTCCATTCACCACGCTCAACTTTTCCAATGAAATTTCCGGTAAATCAAGGCTCACTTCGCCAGCATCATCGTTAGTTACCACGACGTTTAAGTCCCTTGGTACGACATCACATTTATTCATGCGATTTTTGGCATTTAATTCATTTTGTTCTTGTTCTTTTGCTTTGGCTCTCGTAACCACAGCTGCAACTTTGTTCCTCTCCAGAACATCTATTCCCAATAAACCATCTGCAACCAGATCAGGTACTAAACCTACCTGAACATGTCCCTTAAACATTGGTGTTTCCAGGTTAACCACAGCTAACTTAGCCTCGAATGGCTGTCCAATAGCTGTAACCAAGGAAGTAGTTTGTCCATGTAGAACACATTTTGGATCAACAAGATCCTCCCGCAATAGCGTCATAGATGCTCCAGTGTCCTTGACCATTGACACTTCCACATCATCCACTTTCCCCGGAACATAATGTAAACCCCATAATGCTCCTTTCACGAAACACGACGCTAGATTACCTTTCTTTGGGCATTTGTTTGCATAATGTCCAAAGTTCCCACAGCTAAAACATTTCACTTTTTTCAAACTTTTCTGTTTTCCGGAGTTCCCCTGTTCCTGGCTCTTCTTCTCACCTAACACTTTAGGATTTTGAAGTTTTCTGTCCTCGGCCGATTTTGTTGGTAGAATGTAATCCTCAGCAGCTTCAACTAACTCACTACTTCCCTTATTCCGTCTAATCCACTGGGCTTGTTGAGGAGATAATGCCTTTAAGAAATACTCTTCTCGGAACTTTTGTACGGGATCTTTCTCATCAATGAAACGACTCGAATACAGATCTATTCTCGACATTAATCCTCTGTAAGTTTCTCCTGGTCTACGTTTAATTTCCTCCAGGAACTGAAAGTAGTCTGCTGGGCGCTTGCCGAATCGATTCAAAAGAGCCTTATACAGATCTCTGTATCCCGAAGTCACTTGCTGCGACACTTCTCGAGCTTCTCCGGTTAAAAGTGACCTAAGCTGTAAAGCCTTTGAGTTCTCAGTCCAACCTGCATGCTCAGCTACCGCATCAAATTCAGAGAGATAGCACAAAATGTCATCCTTTTCCTGATTAAATGGTTGAAGTTTAATTTTTGGCATTCCTGTCGAATGTGCTCCTGGTGTTGAATTGGCCTTCTCTAGCTGAACACGTAATTCCAAAATTTCTTTTTCATGTTCCAATTCAAGTGTTTTTAAACGTAATTCATGTTCTTGTTTTTGTTTAGAAAGTTGTAATTCCAATTCCAAGTCCTGTTTCCTAGGCATTTTAATTCCGCTTGTTAAATCCAAATATATGTATAAAATTTCAAACAATATTTCACATTTAATTAGGATCCTTTACCGCTGCCACCACTTAAAATGTTACACCGAAACTTTCTGTTTTTAAATAAAAACGCCCAAAGTTTCCAGCAAAGTTTATTTTGTATTCCCGTGTAACACTTTACACACAGGACCCGACTGAGTAACTGAATGAACACACAAATTCTACGCTAAATATTAAGAACTGCCCAACCTACAGACTGCCAATCACTGCTAAATTAACCCGTTAATTGTGAACACTATGAATTCTGCATTTTCTCATGGCCAGCACTTCAGACATTCAATCCCCCTGAGACTCGGGTGATAAAAGTCAGCAATGCTGATACAAGAGCTAAATTTCCCAGCCAAATCTTAATGAGCGGTCAAGACCTTATCACATAAACAGATCACTGCAGTCTGTAGCTTAGAGTAATTACTACAAATCAACAAGATTAAGATAATATAAATCAAGCATTAATTATACAAACAATTTCACACTAAATTTCACTTTAACAATAACATGCAGATGAAGAACTTCTTTGGATGATGTCATTTTCACATGCAAAAAAGAAACTAATTCGACTAAAACTAAAAGACAGTCATAAAAATTTTAAGGACATTAAAGGATGATATCAAGACAGAAGTCCAGGAATTGATAAAAATTACAACAATTATCATCCAAGGATGTATATGTTTGCATTTATTTTTCAATTCACAACCAAATGATATGCTGGCATTTAATCTTTCAAACTTAAAACCTTTCTATACTTTTGAATTAAAAATTTCAAAATCTAGAGGAGTCTTCCCAATACCTATCTACATGTATATGTAAATCACCAGAGTTGTTGTACTGCACCATTTGAAGAAAAGTCATATCCACATTCTTTACTTTTTTTCCCTAAACCTTAGTTCAAAACATAAATTATTCCAACCAGTCTTCATTCTATGCAGTGATAATAAAATTTTCACAGAATTCTAAGGTATTACATAGTAATAGTCTTTAAAACACTCTTGAACTTTGTGCATATGATTTACATTGAAATTCTTTCCAAAGAATATACTATGCCACCCAATAGAGCTGATATAAAGTCTCTAGGTTGTCACAAAATGTTAAAGTTACAACAACTAAATTTTATCCTGTAGGAAAATGATCCAAAAATCTATAGAAAATCTCCTATCCATTCTTTACTTAAGATGTGAATTTTGAAGGTTACAAATTATTGACAAAGTTAGTTATCTCAATAATCTCATGCTTTGACCCTGACAAAGTGTCCTATACAACTAAGTGTATTACTCCAAACACTATATGTGTAGTAAGTATAAAGTTTATGGAATGATAAAAATATTCAAGATATTATTAAATCACAGATCAGGGGACACTTGCATCTTTATGGTGGGTCTTATTGAGACGTATTAAATTCGAAATAGGATAAACACATTCTAAATAAAATGTATTTACAGTTCCAGGAAAGTAATAATTACACCAAAGCTAGCTTCTGAACATCTGTGTATTTTCTAGGGGTGTTGTAGATATAAGATGAAAAATTAAGGATTCAATGTATAAAAGTCATACATAACAACATTCTTCAATATGAATTGGTAAAAATAAAAGTCACATTTAGATACTTTGAAATCTGTGAGAATTATTTTTTTTGAAGATCTCATACTATCAAAAAAACACAATTTCAATACTTTGATTTGATTAAACTTCAGTCTGTTAAATGACTACAATTTATCTATTGTTTTGTATGCCAGCATATGAAGGATATGAATGGGAGAGGATCTAGAAAAATGCACAATCCTGGGTCCTTTCTCTCTTATCCTGTGAACCACAATTCATGATCATCATGATTGACTTAGTTTGGAATCATATTTATTCATGTGCTTCTTGAGTCCTCCATCCATCTCTGGTTTTATATTCTTGTATCAGTGTTCCAAGAGAGTATATTCTGTTAGTCTGTGCATAATTTACTGAGTTCCCAATTGAGAATCCTTGAAAGGAAAAAAAAATTATTAGTTGAAAAATTGATATGCAATATAAGCTTAATAGAATTTTAAACATAGACAAAAAGGGATATAAAAACAAGGTGTAACATCAGATTTTGACTTTTCAAAACTATGGGTAGTAACAGCTTTAGTAAAAGAAAAGAGTAAAGGAATGAGTAAAATTCAGTTTGGTAAGAGAGTTCTTACAGAGAAAGATGTAGAACGAGGTTTACCAATTAAAATAAAAAGAGATGACATTATTCAGATCATTTCTCATGAAGAATATAGCTAATTATCCCCACAATGGATGGGCCTTGTAATGTCATAGATTACATAGACAGACCCTTGATTGCAGAAGAAGCCTATGAAGAATATAATCATTAATTACCAGTGGAGGGTAAGGATTACCTTGATTACCCTGAAAGACCTTTGACTGGAGAGAAAATTCAATTTAAAGATGCTAAGAGAGAAAACAGTTGTCAGCAAAAAAAAAATGTTAAAAACACATGATTTTAACTCCACAGAGGAGAAGAGACCTGAGGATTAATGGAGAAACTCTACACTAAAGTTTTAGAAGACATTTAGGCTCATTTTGAGAGTAACTTGCCAGTGTTTGTTTAACTACAAAATTTTGTTCTCTGATAGAAAAAAAAAACCCACTCTCTTACATTTGCTATGACTTAGACCTTTTAGTCAAGATTGTGATATACACTCTGATTATCCTTTGTGTCAGATGTGAAGTCACCATGTTGTTTGCTTAAAGAATGGTGTCAGGGTTTTTGTGTTCAGAAAAACAAAGAGAAATAAACATATAAACAGATCTGAGATGTTGGAAGCATACACATTAACTGATGTAAGGAAACAAAACACTTGAATTCATTACTAGATTATTAAAAGAAAGAAGAAAAACTCATAGAAATGATATTGAAAGTACCTTATATGAATAATGTGTCATGCTCCAAGGTATATTTTTATAAACAGGTTAAGGTCCACAGCAGTCCCAATGCACTCATAAGAAGATCCTGGATGGTAGAAACACCAGGAAATTTTAATGCTATGCAATCAGATCATCTTACATCAGCTATAAAGGTTACAGCCTTTAGACATAGTCAGGAGGGTCATTATTGATTAAAAATTTTTCACTGTTGATCCTGAGGAGCCACATTGTAGTATTCTTTCCCTGTAAATATAATGTCAATATTAAATGAAAAATTCAGAATTCATAAGCACTTGGATAGAAAACTTGAAATCTTTACCAACTATGCTTTTAAGGAAGCTGAGGGTTAATAAATTAACCATCTGATATAACTTATTTTTTAGATATCTGTTAAGATATCTTCAGCTGTTAACTATCATTTGGCAAAGAAAAATTTCACACATTTTAGTTTCACAATTTGATCATTTTTGTAAATATCTATATGGAGCTCTTCTTCTCATAGAGGAAATCAATATAGTCTAAAAATAACCATGACCACCAAGCCCTCATAATCTCAAAAAACGGTCATATCATTTACTTATCAATTCAATTAATTTGAAAATATAATCAAGCATATGTAAAAAAAAAATATAAAAATTAGGAGTGGATATCTCATTGAAACTTTACCTTCAAGTTTGTTTCTATGTTGGTTGACTAACTATGTATTTCCAAAGGAAGGGCAGACAGGCTGAACTTCATAGAGAATGGATTATAGATGGGTAGGAATAAACCATATCTTCCATGTTGAGGACTGTAGAAAATATAATCATTTGGTATTATGACACAGTACTGCATGAAACATTGCATGTTTACATACAGTGCCAAAAAGTTCATGAAAATAGTTCATCATGTTATCTTTAGATAACAAAAGAAGCACAGTTCCTGTATTAATATCAAAAATACAAAATGATTATCAGCGTAATTTTTAGACACTAACAGACTTTCTCTTAACAGCATATTCAATTTTGTTTAATACCTGTCAGTACAGCATACAAAAAGACATATACAACATGTAGTCCTACATTTTTTGAAAAGCTCATTACCAAGAAACAAAAGTGAAAATGAAAATGATTATGTATGCCATATATCACACATATTTAGAATCAAAACAAGGATTAATCTTTTGTAGATTCTTACTTTTTCTTTTATTACATTCCTTATAGATCACAATTTATTAAGTCTGAATTCCATGGGTAACAGACATAATGAATTATGACATTATATCATAATTTATGCAAAAGGACTTATTAACATTATGAAGTTTCCTTAGTATATTTTAGACAAAATAAGACTGTGCTTATATGAATGTTAGAGATATGAGATCACATAAGAATTACACAGTAATTAAATTAAACCATATAATCATGGTTAAATGCAAAGATGACCTTCATAGGAAAATGTAAACAAAACAAAGACAAACTTACCAGAGATATCCAACTATATGCCCAATAAGCCTATCCATTAAATAATCCAGTGAAATAACATCTCAGCTGATCCTGAAAAAAAGCATACAATATTCAGTGATACTCAATTTAACCTCATTTTACAAAGGAAGTAAAGCAACAATTGACAGACAAACAGGACAGAAATGTAAAAGATACCATATGTATTTTACTAAAATTTAGTAAACATTTTTTTCTGATTTAAATTCAATCATGGAATGACCCATCATAGTAATATTAAATCGGTCTGGGTTACATGCAAATTATACCTTACATGAACTGAGAATAAATACCCCATTTACATTCATATAAACTGCATTTTACATAACTAACTAGTGCTAATTGTAACGGGGACCGTTACAGATGTTCCCCAAACGCTCCCCAACTCCCTATTGGTGCCATATTCCCTGTGATCTCTATTAAATAAGAAATACTTTATGGAATTTAGACTTAATCAAAGTCTTTCAAGAAAAATACAAAATACATTTTTTAAAAAAAGGCATTGCACGCGTGTTCATGTGCTAAACGACCATATTATCTTGTCTACACTATCTAAAATTTTAATATACTTAATATCAAAGCATTTTATCCAAAAGTATTAAAAAATGCACTCATTCGAGTGT